CAGGTGGGCACAGAGGCCCTAAGCACATCCACAGCAGGCCGCATAGGACTTCTAGAAGCTGCGGCAGAAACCAGGACGCCTGCCTTGCAGGTTGGCCTAAGAGAAATGGAGAGAGCGAGAGAGAGCCCAGAGTGGTGGTAGCTCAGAGCATCCCAGGTGGCTGTGAGGATTGCGGATGTGGAAACACTGTCAGACAGCTCAGTCCCCAGCATAGGTCCCGTTTGATGATTGTTCAATAAAAGGCAGCCCAGGTGCCTGTTGGTGGTTGGACCATGTGCCCACAGGGAGGATTCTGTGACTCCATCCTCCTCTATGTGTCCCCCGCCCACCACCTGGGTTGGGTCCAGTTCGTGCCTCTGAGGAGCCTGCTGGCACAGGCTGAGTCAGCTGGCGTGGGCTGTCTTCCATCGCCTTTCCCAAAGTCAGTTCATTCTCTCCCTGTCCTCTCTTGGACACACGAGGGAGCCCAGGGAGGACAGTAACCTCAAGGTCACAAAGCCAGGCTCTCTCTGTGGGGCTCATGATTTCCTAGTGTGCTGGGGAGCCCTCCATATTGGTGGGCTGCCACTGCTGTGGGAATTAGGATTTCTGTGCTGGCTATGGGGTTTTGTAAGTTGGGCTGCATGGTTGCCTCTTGGCAGGTGGGGCCCAGACCAGGTCTGGTGTTCCTTGCTCAAGTCCTCCGTGGCTTCCCAGTGCTCACTCCACACCCGCATTCCTTGGTCTGATTTTCTCCACTTCCCTTCCTTGTTCCCAACCATGGTCCTTCCAGGCAGATGGGATCACTTCCCAGGCTTGCCCTGGGTGTTCCCACCCTGTCCCCTTGGCTTGGGGCCCTTGTGTCCATCCTTGATGATCCCAGCTACATGTGGACTCCTTTCCTCTTATCCCCTTGTCCTCAAATTTGCCAAGCTTATACATGCCTCAGGGCCTTTGCACCTGCCTTCCCTCTCCTTGGCACAGCTTCCTCCAGATGTCCACCTGACTTGGTCCCTCACTTCAGTTCTCTGGTTTTATGTTCCCTGACCCCCCTCCATAATTTAACTTTACTCCCCCCGCTTTTTTTTAACCCTGCTTTGTATTTCTTCTTCATATTTAACATTCGATTTGTTATTTAAATACCTGTCTTTTTATTGACTCTTACCACTCCAATGTAAACACTTTGTTCTCCTCTCTATTCCTGGCAGCTAGAACAGGGCCATGTACCACCTCAGTGCTCCTTGGTGGATGGATGAGTGAATGAATGAGGCCCCAAGAATGGCCCTCTTCCTCTCAGTCTGGCTCTGGGCTCCTCCTTTTCCCAAGCCTCAGGGCTGGAACTGAGCTGTAGTCACGTTTGTATTCATGGTTGGTTGGCTCCTTCCTAGAAGTCAGCACAGAATCTGGTACTCGGTGGGCAGACAGGAAAGAGCTGTGGAATTATACCATGCAGGTGTGTTTTCATATAGGCCAGGAGACAACATGGTTGGAAAGGCAATCTGGCCCAAAGAGCGGGTGTCCTGATTCTTCACAGAAACTCCTTTTCGAATTTTCGGTTGTTTGGGTGGTGTGCCATCAGGCTCTCCCTGTTGCCAGAGCCAGCTCTGTGTTGTCCCTGAAGTCACCTGGGCTGTAGAGGCACTGGGAATGAGGTACTCTCTTACCCAGGTTCCCTTTTCCCTCCATCTGGATGTTTCTAAGCTTGTCTTGTACCTTATGTCAGACCCGGCATCTTGAGGCTCCCAGCCAGTCCGCCTGCCCCATGTTTGCCAGCCTCTGGTTCCCGAAGCTTTCCTCCGCCAGATCCTCCTGCCTGTGCTGTGGTCTCACGGGGAAGGTGTGCTGGTGGTATCAGGATGGAGGCAGCCTGAGGCTGGGAAGGACGGCGGGGTTAGGAGGAGTGAGAGCTCCATTCAAGGAGCCTGGGTCTGCCACTCATCGTTGGGACCTTGTACAAGTCATTGGCCTTGGGAGCCTTTCTCACCTTCTGTCGTAATGACATTATACGTCTCTCCTGCCGCTGTTTTGAGAGCCATGTAACTATGTATACAGTTCCCAGCATCAAAGTGATGCTCAAAGTCATTACCAGGCCTAGGGCTGTGCAGGTGTGGGGGAGGGGAGTGTGGCCTCTAGGCTTGTTGTGGTTTCTGCAATTTCTCTGGGAGTTTGAGGGGTCAGGTTTGGTAGTTTCAGCCACAGCCTCGTCAAGAACGTGGGAGCTGTTCTCATGTCAGGTACTACGTCTGTTGTTTTGTGTCTGAAGGACCAAAATTAAGAAGGAGGGAAAAAAAAACACGTGGTTGAGTTTCCTGCATGTACTGACTGAGAAAATATTTTCATCTCATGGCGTTCTGGAAACCAGCGTGCTGCAGCATTTGAAGTTGGTTTCTCATTAGGTGCACGCTGGTGGGCACTTACTTGCATTGGTTGAGTTCTGTTCCTCGGTGTTTGCTCTTTTCAGTATTGAGCGGTAGATCAGTTGTCTCACTATGGCCACAGGGAGGCAGGCTACGGAGCAGGCCCTGGGGAATGCAGGGCCGTGCTGGCATGGTGGCTTGAGTGGGAGAGAGCTCAAGGTCCCTGTGCCCCCCGGCACCCATCCCATGGGGGCTTTGTTTGTATCATACTTGTTTTTCAATCGGGTGGTCGTGAGCAGGATGTGATCCACCCA